AGGACATGTTCTGGGCATGGGTGGAGTCTCGTAAGTACTCACCCACGGAGTTACGGGAACTCCACGAAGATCAGCTGCTGTCCCGCATCCTGGACCAGCGTGATCTTCGTGTGAGGTTTGCCCACTTGATCTGCAAGCGCATGCTGCCAAGGGACATCCTGAAGCGCACGGCTTCCAGCGCTCACGATAAGCGCGGGTACGGAATGTATTCATCATCCGTACCCCGTTCGGGCAAGAAGCACCGGACTACTTATGAAGCTGCCGCCGCTTCTGTTCCCAGTTTGCGACAGTCTTCGGGCAGCCAATTAGGAGCCGTTCAATCGGCTCCCACGAGTTCTCGGAGTGGGCATAACCCCTCCACTTCACGAGGAGCTGTCGCTTACCGCGACGCCGTTGCTCCTGGAGAATCCGCTCCACGTGGAAGTGGGCTTCTCCATTCCGGTCAAGCAGGGGCGGATGTGCCCTCGTACGAGTACGAGTACTCGGCGCCTCCCGAAGCCACTCTCGTCCGAGTGCTCCGACTGCGGGTCCGACACAGGGCCCTGAGGTTGACCGCCTCTGCAACGTGTCCTCGTGCTTGAGATTGCACTTGGCCTTGAAACTGGCGGTGATGCTGCCGCCCAGGCCGGGAATTAGGGCGAGGTCGCTCGTCTTGCGGGCCGCCTGGACCTGTTGGAGCGAGAGGTCGCGATCCTTCATCTGCGGGTGGATCGCCGGGCCTCTTCGTCCGATCTGGACGAGGCCTTTCGCATGATCCGACGGATCGAGGCTTTGCTGCCACGTCCGGAGCCGCCTGTGGCACACTCCCAGACGTACGCGTATGGTGCGTACCCGGCGTACTCAGCGTACTCGGCGTATGGCGCCGGGGCCCGTTCGTACGGAGCCCATCCGGCGTACGGTTTTGACCGCAGCCTTGCCGTTCCGACCGAGGCTTGGGTGCCTGCTCCGACGCCCTCGTCGACGTCTGTGACCGGCCCTCGCTTCGAGGAGCTGGGTCAAGGTGGGTCTGCGAGTCAGCAACCGCCTGCGGATCAAAGTACCGCTTAAGGCCTCCAACATAGAACGTCGGGTGCGCCGTCATTGACTTTGGCAGGTCGATGGTGTACGACGCACCATGTCCGGCCAGGTCTGCAAATGGTCCGATGAAGCGGTGCTTCAGCTTGTTGCCGCCGACAGAGCTGACAGTGTCAAGAGGTAGGCTCCTCGTGTCTAGCAACACTAAGTCCCCCACCTTAAATATACTTAAGTTTCCTCTTCCATGTTTGTCGGAGTACTCCTTTTGTTTATCTTGGGCCGCTGCCGTGGCATCGCGGACCCCGCTGACAACGCTCAGTTTGGTATCCATAAAGGAGTCCACTTGTTTCCGCAGCGAAACTGGTCTCACATCCGAGACCTGGGAGGAAAAGGCTTTCCGAGCCTCTCCCCCACTTAGAATAGAGGCGTCAGTGCCTCCTCGGAGAGTGAGAGGCACTCTGGGGTGGCGGAAGCCGTTCAAGTAGAACGGCGTGAGCCCCGTGGACGCGTGCACCGCGTTGTTGAGCAAACCCAACAACTGGAAGCTGCGTCGACCACGTACGTGGTGCTGCCGCGCACACACTGCGCAGAGTGTCCTCGAGCACTCGATTGACGCGCTCTGTCTGGCCTTCTGTCTGCGGTAGATCCGCAGTGGACATCTGCAGACGAGTTCCCAGTAAAGGGAACAGGGTTTTCCAAAACGCAGCAGTGAACCGCGGGTCTCGGTCCGAAACAATCGTTTCCGGGAGACCGTGATAGCGGAACACGCCACCGACGAACAACCTCGCGGTTTGTTCGCCTGTGACGGTGACGGGAACCGGAGCAAGATGTACCATCTCGCTCAGCCGACACACGAACACCAAAATTTCGGTGTTGCCGTGTCCGTCGGCGGGAAGCCCAAAGAATAAGTCAAGACTCATCGACTTCCAACAGCCAGCCGGTACGGGCAGGCTCTGTAGTGGAGCCGAAGAGTGCCCTGCGGGTTTAATCCGCTGACATGTTTCGCATGTCTTAACGTACCGGGCGACCCACTTGTACATGTGGGTCCACCAGAAGGACTGAGAGACCGACAGAAAGGTCTTCTCGCGGTCCAAGTGGCCGCTGGAGGGCGCGTCATGCGCCTCCGCGAGGATATCGAACTTCAGATCCTCGTCGTTGGGTACGACCACCCGTGGAGGATCATTGGGCTCCACCCGGTAATAGAGGAGACCATCCTTCAACTCATATCGGTGTACCTATTTGAGCTATTCCACGTGAAGCAGGAGCCATTCCCATCGTTTAGGCAGGCGAAAGACTGGTATGATATTAAGTTTTTACGCGGTCGACAGAAAACCCAGTCTATACGTACACACCCATAAAAAGAGTACGAGCTGTGTTCAGCACTCAGTCTCACATTCAACAAAAAAGACACATATAGATCGCCAGCAGGGCGTACGTCAGCTGGAAGCAGCCGATGTGGATATTTCCCAAATCCGGCGACATGGTAGATGGGGTATGGACACATGCGAGGCTGTGTATTCTGCCCCTCTTGCCCGTGAGACCATGCGTGCTCTATCAGGACATCCAGCGCGTTCGCGTTTATACTTTCTGGAGAGAGCAACAGCTGAACCACCCTTGGATTTACAGCGTCTAGTTTTTCCTGACATCGAAAATTGTCAAAAACAAATTTTAGATGGCAATTGGGATCACAATTTGGCTGGTCGAGGATTCCTAGATCTGCTCCAACACCTTCGAGTTGTGCTTTTTCAAGACTGTGCTGTTCTTTTTGACCATCTCCCTGTTCGCATTCGTGACCATATTAATTTTTGGAGAATCTTTCCAGAAATATAGAACTCAGGTTTTGGCTGGCGCAGCTAGTGCCAAAAGTCCAGTGGAAACAAATCTTCAGGTTGCAATGCCTCTATTGTCGGAGCATATAAGTACACAACATTCAGAAACAAGAATAAGTTAGCCTCTCAGCACACCGAGGTGCTACAGCTGCTCAAAGAAACTCGAGAGAGTTTTACGTCCATGCTTCAAGGAAACATGATGTTTCGCCTGTCACCTGTGGTTGCCCCCGCCAGATCTGATAGCACTGATAATGAACACGAGCCTGCTCAAAGTCAACCAACGAGTAGTACAGTTAGTGAAGCTCATCAAACATCAACCTTTGGCGTATCACCAAAATATTCTATGAGCAGAGGGATCTCAACAGTGAATAAACTGTGGGCTGAATGGCACGAAGGAATCGCAACCAAACCATCTATTGAGTATCTCGAAAGTACGTACGGTACAAAATGGCGTCAATCGCCAAGGGAGGCGAAGTTTTTCTCAAGACGTCTTTGTGTGATTAAACACGTACAAACACTGGTTGGTGGAGGTCTTTCAATCGAATCCGCGCTGGACCGCGCCGATATTGAGCGCGGAAGAAGGAGCATCGACGCTTTCTCGAAGTATCTAAGCAAAAAGAAAACAAAATAACCATTTATAGCTAATTGGCAAAAAGTAAAAAAAAATCATTACAACTAGTGCATGATACATTGCTTTTTACCTACGCGTGGTCGAGCCAGCTGCTGTTTTGTATCATGGTCTTGTAGCTGTGTCGGTAGGACCTTTGGTCACGATCGCAAGTGGTAGCTCGAGCTCCATCTTCAACGGCCCAGTCGTCCGGCTTGGGCTCTATGTCTCTGTAGTCGGAAGTGGCACGACGCTTTGGCCAGCTCCAGCGTCTCTACAATGTACAGAGGAGACGTCGTCTCACGCATTCTATGTAGACGCTACTCTCACCGTCATTATCGTATAAGTAGACTCCACTTTTGACCACTTCTCGGATGTCCTCGACCAACGACGTCTCAGTCCGTGAGCTTCGTAGAATTCTCAGCCAGCCCCGTCTCTTCAATAGCAGGCATTAGTGTCATCTCCGACGTCATGGCCTTGTACGTCGCGAAGTCCGTCTCCGTCTCCTTGCTAACACCTTGCATAGACGGAAAAGCCAGCACCCCCGTCGTCTTGTGAGTCTTGCGTGCTGCAACAAGCTGGAAATTGACGTTTACAATATTTGGCTTGCTTTATGACCAATAGAATTGCTTATATTAGGTCAGAACCTAATCGTGATATCTTCAAGATAACATCCGATTCTTGCCGCTTATCAGCGGATACCAGGTCACAAGGTCAGTCACGACCTTTTTGCTGATACTTCGAGGTATGTAACAAATACTTAAGTGTTTGTATTGGGTCCCCTTGCAACCCATTATATCTACATGTCATTCTGCATTCTGCAGCAAAGTTCACATCACTCTCCCCACTCAATGACTATCAAGCTCGGTCGGACGTGGTTCTCACTGCTGTTAGCTTTCGCTCTGTTTGCACCTGCCTCCAGTACGAGAACTGTCAAGACTGAAGATTTGAATAGTGCGGTGGACGGTCAAATAAATGGGAACGTGAGGAAGGACATGAGACCAACGTTCGGTGAAGATGGTGGCAGTCTCGGAGAGAGAATGCTCAGCCATAAAAGTATACCAGGTGCTGCGAAGCTTAAAAGTCTGGTCAACCCGGGGGAAGCGATGTTTCGAAAAGCTACAGCAAAGAAAATGTCCGAAAAAGAGAAAGCCACGCAAAACCTTTTTTAGGATCTCAACGTCGGTATGGTGGAGACGCAGCTTTTCGAGAGTGCACAGTACCAAGCGTGGGCTCAGTCTGTGAGCAACATCTACAAGAAGAAAGGGTCAAGTGGCCATGTTTAGAACACTGGCGAGTAATTTCGGCGAGGAGACTCTGGTCAGCAGGCTGGCTCAAGTACAACAAGTCCCAACGACAAAGAGCATTGCTGAGTCGTTTGAAGCCATTCAGTTTGGGATTTGGACTGGTCAAAAGAAAACGGTGGAAGAAATCTTCAGTATTCTGAAGCTGGACACAGATGGCGACATTCTTCTGAATCCAGTGCTAAATACGTGGATCACCTACGCAAAAACAAGCAAAAAGTTTGATCCATACAATTGGTTGGCAGGAAAGACTCTGGTGACGATGGACTAGCTCATATGATAGCTGCAGCAAAGGCCAGCGGTAGTGCTAAAAGCAAATTCATTGCTATGAACGTGTGGGACGCACAATTAAAAATTTGGTGGGATCAAAAACGGACGGTAGAGAACGTGTTCAAGCTCCTGCAGCTCCATCGAGATTCTGGGCATAATGTTCTAAAGAATCCAGCGTTGAAGATGTGGCTTTCATACGCAAAGGATATGGTCCCGAAGGACGCTTTTACGTTAATGTTTTCGACGATGAGAAAATACTACGGCGAAGAGGTGGCAATGGAACTTTGGGTGGCCCGCGGGAGAAAAGCAGACGACGCTTTCAACTATTTCAAGCTTGACACTAAAAATCTTGCTGGAAATCCGAAGCTGGTTACCTGGGTGTCCTGCGTCAAGAAACTCAATACGTACGAGAATCAGCCAAGCGAGTTTGCGGTTATCTCTGAATTAGAGAAGCACTTTGATGACAAAATAGATCTTGCTCGCGCTCTTGCTGTCGCTCAAAAGGACGCGACGATGAGTAAAAATATGGCGGAAACTATTTCTAGCTTACGATCACTGCAGTTCAAACAGTGGTTTGACGCCGAATTGAAGCTCATTGACATTACAAAGTTGCTCGTAGAACGGGCAAACGGGATGAACGGCCGCATCTCAGGCGATTATAGCTACTTCTACGATAAGTACTGGCGGAACCTTCTCAAGCCCATGGGAGTCGGCGGGTAACATCTCGATAAATACCGCTTGTCCTACACTCGCATACTTGCTTGCACGTTGTTAGACTTGATCAATGTCATGACTTAAAAAAATCAATTTCTTCGACGATATGAACTACTTCACAGCTAGAGCGAGCTAATCATGTAGCTTATTTATCGATAGACTTCACAACGAAGAAGAGAAGGCATTCAGCTGGGAAAGCATCTTTTGTCGAATAGTAAGTGGGTCTTGCGCGCCATTGTGAGTCTAATGAAAGAGAGAGCAAGGAGAACGCTCGGCTGAAGCTGACGCAAATCAAAATTAAGGTAAAATGCCAGTTTAAGTCAGTGACAGATGACCAACTTTAAAAGCTCATAATTTTCAACGGACATTGAAGATGAGAATAAAACAACCACGACTGGAATTATCAGAATCTCGTCTTTCTTATTGCTAAGCGCAACATATTAATTGAGTACTATTCGGCCATCAGTGGCGGTTTGAAATTACCATCTTTTTTCGTCGTGTGCCAGTTTAAGACAATTTTAAACTTGACTTGAGTATGGACAAGAGGCTTTTATGTACGATCGTGCACGTACTGTTGACTTTCTGTAAATTCCGATTAGAACCCACGTAAAATTATAACCTTGACTTGGATCAAAATAGATGGTGTATTAGAATCCGGAGTATTTAGAAGCTCACCTCGAACAGAGCCGTATCACTATTAGCAACTTCTGACTGCTGCTGCACTAGCACCAATTCGCTCTACATGCCTTGTACCTCTTCGTGTTTGTGCTCGCTCTCGTGGTTGTGATCGTGGTATTGCTTTTGATGAAGCTCCTGGTCCTGGTGGTGCATACCACTCGCTGTCGTTTTTGTAGAAATTCTGTCTCTCTGCGATTTTCTTGTTCGCTTCGGCGCGTTTCGTTGGGAGGGCTGGTCAGGTTGCTGAAGCATCTCACGCGTTAACAATCTACCAGCCACTGTCTTAGTTTTTCTTTTTCCTACTCTGCTTGTGTTGGCGAGCAGGCAGAAGCAAGATATCGTGCTGTACTGTCTCCTTGTATCGCAGCCAAGAAGCCAATAGCTTCAATGCTGCCTCCCTCGCGAATAGACCTCACCAATTCCATCTTCTTCTTGCTGCTATACGTTGTGCGACGCTTCATGGTTGGAAGCCAGATCAAAACTGACAGGTATTCGTGGAGGCGAGCGCCGCTCTAAAAATAACCAATCAGATGCATTTACGACTGCTATTGGTGCGCCTTAAACTGATCCAAATGACTTAAACTGGCATTTTACCTTATTAGCAGCGTCGGAGATCTGCGTTTAACAAAAAGGCAACTTCAAGATATCAAATGTACCAGCACATCTTAATATTTTAGTGGCACAACCATCGCGCTGCGTCAGCAAAAGCGTGCGAGCAGAGCGCAGAAGCCAAGAACCTACCCCGGCCATTCAGTCACCTCGATGCTGATCTGCATTACCTCCGCTAGCTTCAGCTGAACGAGGCATTTCAACTCTGTGCACTCAATTAGAATCTGCATGTGTATGGATCTCGTGCAGCTGTTCTGCTTTCAAGTGGTGTTATACATTTTGTGCAGCTGGTTGTTCGCTGCGGGGGCTAGCTATCTAGGTAAGAGCGGATGGGCAGTGTCGATAAAGCGCAGCCGACCCATTCAGTTCTCTAGCACGACGCGGTAGCGCACAGTGCCGCTGCGCACCATTTGGATGCCCTCGTTCACCTTGCTCATGGGAAGTTTCTGGATCACAGGGCGTACGTTCTTCTTGGACGCCACATCCAGCATGTCCTTGATGTCCTGGATGCTGCCGATGGCGCTGCCCTTAAAATTGAGGCCCTTGGCTACGAGCGGGAACGGCTTGAACTTGATCTCGTCATTGGGCAGACCAACCATGATCACAGTACCGTGCACCGCCAGAAAGCTCAGGAACAGCGTGTAGGGCATGTTGTTGGCGTCGGCTGTGATCAGTAGAATGTCAACCGACTTGGCTGCGTCCGCCGCCTGCTTCTCGTCTGTGTACACGACGAACTCATCTGCACCGAGACGACGGATCTCCTGCTCCTTACTGGCTGAGCGGGAGAAGGCCACCACTGCAGCGGCACCCATAGCCTTGGCGAACTGGATGCCCAGGTGGCCCAACCCTCCAACGCCCACGATACCAACGCGGTCACCAGGTTTGATACCAACCTCCTTGAACGGAGTGAACACGGTGGTGCCGGCGCACAACAGCGGTGCGGCCACGTCCGACGGGATGTTGTCTGGGATCTTGAACGCGTACTCGTGCGTGACGCGAATGTAGTCTGCGTACCCGCCGTACGTGATTGCGTCGTCCGTCTTGCGGTATTTCGAGTTGTACGTGCCCACGTGGTGGCGGCAGTAGGCGTCCTTGCCGTTGGCGCATTCCTTGCACGGATCGTCCGGGAACTTGTTGAGGCAGGCCCACACTTGCGCACCGACACCCACACGGTCACCGACCTTCATGCCCTTCACTTGGTCGCCGGCCAGCGTCACTTCACCGACGATCTCATGGCCGACCACACACGGATACATGGTCTGACTCCAGCCGCTGTCCATGGTGTGTAGATCGGAGCCACAGATGCCACAGTGCGAGATCTTGATCTCCACGTCCTCTGGGCCAAGAGGACGCGACTGGTACTCCCATGGCTTGGCTTCCTCGCCCATGGCGAATGTGGCATACGCGTGCACGGTCCTCGGGGCAGTCGACATGGCTTGTGCTGCAGTTGATGTTGGTTTTGTGATTGACTTGTCAAGTGTCGATCAAAATCGAAAATGGAAAAAAGGTAGTCCGACTCGGAGTCCAAGCTAGTAGCATTGCTCTACCAGGGAAGGTATCTTGCGTGGCTGGGCTCACCGTCGCATAGGAAGTTGGCTATCCACAGCTTTGATAGCCATGCCATGATTGGGTAACCAAATTGGTTTACAGATCGAGTAACCCCTAGTCTTACAAACACCAAGTCATTTGCTTGGGACACTCTGGCCCGGACGCTTCGCAGGTAAAGTTGACGCGCCCAAAACGAACGAGAGACAGGCTAATCGGACCGAATTTGGGCGTACATAGGGCTTGGGATCTGGATCACGGCCTCCGATTGTTTACACAGAGGGCATCCATGCCCGATCTTGTACTGTAGAGTCTACAATGTAGACACCGCCAGCCACGGAAATGAGTGACACCACTGTCGGCTTCGGCTGTCGCAGCGCTCCAGTATCTGGCGAACGCTGCGAACACGGGTGCCCACGCGAATCGATCAAACTTGGCTCTTCAATATCATTCCAGCTGACATGTGAGTCGTTCGGTGGCTGCATTTGCCTGGCCCTGGACTGGTACTCAATAGCACAAACGCTATAGCAGAAAGAGCCCAAATTGAGACAACGTCTTAAACTTTATTAGGCATCTTCTAATATCGGCTAAATAGAATATCTTATTGCACGATGTTACTGCCCAGGTTTTTGGTGCATATATGACTTGCCTACAACAACACCTAAGTCGCTACGCAGTCTGTCACACAATTTAGTCAAAGTAGCCCTGCAATCCTCATCAATATACTCCTCGATCTTTGCCATCACTTCAACCGTCATTTTCACACAAGCCTGACGGACCCCACCTCGCGGCTTGGCCGTCGCAGTGTTGTTCAGGATAGCACGGCGAGCAGTATTGTAGGGTATGTCGTTGTGGATTGCAGCAAGTTTCCAATCACCACCTTCGCGGAAGACACGAAGGACGCGCTGCTTGGCTTGCTCTCGAGCGTGATCGCGCAGAGAGTTTGTGTTGACGGTGGGAGAAGGCATTGCTAAAGTCGAATTGAGGAATGAGAATATTTAACCCCTGCGTCAGTTCCAACAACGTATCTGTGAGCCACTCGTTGTCTTTGTGTCAGCAGTACATGAACTTGTGCTATGGGATTCGTTTTGGCGCCTAAATTTGGCGCCTCTCACATTGGGTGGGGACAGGAGATGAGCAAATTTGCTCAGGTT